GCTAGTCCTCTGAAAAATCTTGCCAGGTGGTTATCATTTTCCTTATTTTACAGAGAAAGAAACATCCTCACCCAGGTCAGAGGGCTTAAATAAGCATTTCAAGGATTCAAACTCAATTCTAAAGCTCAAAGTTATAGTAACTTCATTCACCCCCCTTGCCATACACACAGTACACTGAATACTGATCAGTGGATACATTCATCTTCTTTTTAGCAAACTAGACATTAAGGAGGGAAGCTTGATAGTGTAGCCCAGAGGATGTTGCACCACTAACCAGAGAGGCAGCGCTGTAGGAGAGAAATGAGCAATCTCCTCCCCTGGTGATTTTCAGCCTCAGAAACCCAATGGAAGGCCAGCTATGAGTCAGAATCCATTCAGGAGCAGTGAGAGATGCTAAGAAATTGTGCCTACGTGTGTGTATTGAACTTGACTCTTACACTAAACCTTTTAATAGCTACATTCCAGGTTCCTATACTTTTTTTCTCCAATGTGCAGGGATGTTTTCTACAACTGGAAACTCAAATTGAGCCAAGGTATGTCCACTGGGGTGGTTAGATGCACTCCTGTCTTTCCAGGGGGAAAGATGTACCCCTAGATTCTCTAGCTGTAGGCAACTTCCTCTAGAAGAAAAAGAAATTCCATGTGTGGAGTGAGGTGGGGACGAGGAGGTATCTGTGACCCTGTTGTTACTGGAATAATTTCTAAATCCTGAGTAGAGAAGTGCAACCACAAAATCTCTTGAAGCGCACCCAGATCTGGCCTTCTAAACAAAGGTCTTCTTCAAAAAGTGCCAAAGCTCACATGGAGAACAGTTGATTCTTTAACTTGTAGGGATGGCCCAAATTGATCACAGGATGGAAAAATAGAATAACAATAACCAAAAGCTGTACGTTTCAGGAGTAGGAAACTGCGCTGTTAGCCTAGGACTCCATGCGCTGCAGTGGAGTCCCGCCTTTCTCAGCCTGGCGACGGGGGTGGAGTGAGGGGGTGGGGAGGTGGGAGAGTGGGGGGAGGTGAGGGGGGCTGTGGACTGGGAGGCCCACAAAGCGGCAGGTAGAGTCCATGGGCTTCTAGAGATTCAAACCCTCCAGGTGGATTCCCGAGGGAAATCTGGTGTCCTAGGAGACAGATGTGATGCCAACCCAAAGGTGGGCTGTTGGAATTTACCAGCTGCTCCTTGGCAGAAAGGCAGGCAGTCTCCTCCTGTGGGGTTTAGAAACCTCTGAAAACCTGTTGGAGAATCAGTTACATACAAGTAAGTAGGTTCTCAGCTGATTGGCAAACTTCCAGGTACCTGGAGGGCACAAGTGTTGGGCTACTAAACAAAATGTTGGTGGTTGGGGTCTACCAGCTACTCTGCTGACAGCCTCTGAACCCCCACAAGGCAGTTCTACTCTGACCTATAGAGATGCTTCGAATTGGAATCCACTGGAAGGCAGTGAGTTTGGGTTTTCTATTAGGGGGACTTCCTAGCTGAGCAGCCGCTGGACAGAGCAAAAGCAGCTTGGGCCCTGCATCTCCCTGCGCCCTGATGGGGCTCGGACAACTAACGGTGAAAGCCTGGGGAAATGCAGAACAATGACATCATAAAACCAAATGCATCTTAAGATTGTCAAAGACCGTACAAATACGTACATATCGGTAAGAAACGTGATCTCGAACGAGGGAACTCAAGTACCAAACCTGGCAAGCGCTCGTTTGTGACTGTTACTGCTGTAACTCTTAGCCAAAGGATTCCCTGCCTGATTTCAAACCGAGCAGAGATGGATCAAGACTTAGATCAAAGCAAGTTGCCTGGAGTGGAAAAAATACTGATTTAATCTAAAGCTGTACTCTGCAAAAGGAGCCTCGATGGCATATTGTGAAACCTATCCAGCTGGTAACTGAAATTGCCTCGCAATATGAGCCCACCAGCCGCTCTGCGGGAGAAAGATGAGCATTCTCCAGTCAAAAAATGTGCAGCTTCAGAAATCCGAAGGAGAAGGCTGCCCCCCAGAAGGCTGGACCTCCAAAAGCTCAGAAGGGTCCGAAAGCCCCAGCCCAGAAAACTGCTCCAAAGGCATCGGGCAAGAAAGCCTAAGAGGCTGTTATAAAAGCAATAAAGTTTCTTTGTGAAAAAAAAAAGAAATCCGAAGGCCTATCTTCCCAGTGGGAACCAACTTGGAGTCAGTGGGCTGGGAATTCTTATGGAAGCAGACTGCCACACAGAGGTCAAGCCGAGGTATGGCAGGTTTGGGCGCGTCCAGAGCTCCACTGGGGGGGGAGGGGGAACGCGAGGGCGTTTCTTTATAAAAACCATGAAGAGTGGTTTCTATTTACTGCAGTCTCTGGTGCCAACTGTGAGAAATTATCCAGAAAGTTAAAACGTGTGCTTTCATATTTCACAGCCTCCATGGGTGAAGGCAAACTGTGTGATCTTGCTCTGCTGAGTTTAAAAAGAGAAGAGATTGCAGGGGGTGGGAGGGAGGATGAAATAACTTTGAAATCATAGAACAGTTTTCATCAGTAAAATCAAGGAAGATGCAGTTGTCATTTTCATGGAGTGTCATAACGTATTAAGTCAAAATTTAATACACTTGACTTATGTTTTTGAACTGATGTTAAGGTGGTGGTGGTGGTTGTTATTATGTACCATTAAGTCCGAACCGACCCATAGCTGACCCTCCAGAGAGTTCCCAGAGGCAGTTAATCGCATGGGAGGAGACTGCCCATCTTTCTCCAGCGAAGCAGCTGATGGATTCCAACCTCCAGCCTTAGAGATTGCAGTGCAGCTTCTTGCCACTAGGCCACCAGAGCTGGGTGTGAGATGTTTGGATGGAGTGGGTGCTGGGTGGGGACAGTATCAGTGTTTGCCATGACACTGTGCTGGGTTATAGACACCTCTGCTGTTAAATATTCCTCCTGAGAACTGCTGGTGGGTTCCAAAGGGCTTTTCAGAAAGCAGTCACGTGCTTAACCTCCACATCACCAGGGCTCCTTACCAAAGCAATAATGGGCCATAAAAGGAAACAGTAAAACAAAGTCCACCTCTGACTATGCCTTACGTATACCTTCATATATTCTAAAATTAAAAAACCAAACCAGCAAGTCCAACCACCTCATAACGACTCTACACTACAGAGTAGAACTGCCCCTGGAGTTTGAAGGCTATCTTTGCCAAAGCTGACTACCTTCTCTTTCTTCCTGACAGTGCGTGGTGGGTTAAATTTTTTTGTTGTTGTTGACAGCTGAATTCTTTAACCACTGTGACACCGGAGTTCCTTAGTTCTCTTTTATGAAAGAGAAAATGATTAATATGCAGCCAAAGCAGTTTACAGAGTAAGAGCAGGATGGCACCCTGATGCAGCAGCCTTAGGTCATTTGCTATTTCAAATAGAGAACTGTGTGTTGAGGAAACATTCACACAGTCAACCTGAATGGCACACAACAATGACAATGACAGTGCAATCTTGTGAATACACCAAAACCACCAAACTGTAGACCTTACAATGGTAAATTTTAGTATGTAAACTATATCATGATTTATAAAATGTTTTTTAAAAAGTAATTTTTTTAAAAAATGCATGGCTAATAAAAACATGGATATGGGGAGAAAAAAGTAAAATTATGGAAAAAGGGTCACTAGGCAGATTATAACCTTGAATGTGACCCCTACAAGTGCTCATAGTCTGATGAAGTTGGGTAAACTAAGATACAGCAACAATATCATTTCCTTAATCTTAAATTACAAATATAATCACAAGATGTTAGGTTTAGCTTACAAAAAGAGAATGTGCCCCAAATCTTAGTATATAACAGAACAACTCTCCCCTATGTTCCTTTCATTGGTATAATTCATTTACAAACATGATATATATATCGCTATACCTATGACAGGGGATGATAGAAGGAGAATTGATGCCTTTGAGCTGTGGTGCTGGAGAAGAGTGTTGAATATACCCTGGACAGGTAGGAGAACAAACAGATTCATCCTAGAGAGAGTGAAACCAGGCTGCTCCTTGGAGTCAAGGATTCTGAAGCTTTGTCTGACGTATTTTGGACATATTGCAAGGAGGGACCAGTCCTTGGAAAGGGACGTCATGCTTGGGAGGGTGGAGGGACAGCACAGGAGAGGAAGACCCTTGATGAGATGGATTGATTGAGTGACTAGGGTAATAGGGGTAGGTGTCAGAGACAATAAGGTTGGCTCAGGACAGAGCAGGGTTCAGGGCTGTTGTACACAGGGTCGCTATGAGTCACAAGCTACTAGACAACACTTAACAATAACAACGTATCTATAGTATACCATTGTTGTGTGCCATTGAGTTGGAATCAACTCATAGTTGACCCTCCAGTGGGTTTTCAGAAACAATAAAAAGCACAGGAGATTGCCCATCTTTCTCCTGTGGAGCACCTGGTGGATTTGACCAAATGCTATTGGGATTGTAGCATAGGTTCTTACCACTAGGCTGCCAGAGCACATTATCTCTTTTTCTGTATCTCATCACTGCTAGCAGTCATTATGGTGATTTTGACTCGTGAGTGTCATAGCAGAACGGTGCTACATACAGTTCTTGATCACAGATTATTCAGAAGCAGATTGCATGGCTGGGGGTGGATTCAAACCTCCAACCTAGCAGGGGCAGGGCATGATGCTTTGAAGGTAGCAGTGGTGGGTAGAGAAAAGGATTTGCACTTCTTAGGTGCACATTTCTTTAATGTTCAAATCCTTTGCAACAGTATGGATGGCTTTTGTAAGTAAGCATTTAAATAAAGAAAGGAGAAAAGGAGAGAGGGAAGGAAGAGGGAGGGAGGGGAAGTAATAAGGGAAGAAAACCACTTTGTTCATTCCATTTTCAAAGAGCTAGAAGATCAAAAGCCAGGGAAGACAATGAAGCAGTGTCTATCTCAGTCATCTGTCATACAGAGCGACACATTTAGAAATACAGGCATACCTGAGATTTTGTTTTGCTGAATAATAAGGGAAATGTCAAACTATAAACTATGCTAGTCCAACTTACTGATCGATTTTGGATTCCGTAGTATTTCCAGTTCTGTCTTTCAGTTTAATGGTAATAGAGCCTCTTCTTACATTCTTATTCCAAGTTATAATATCCACAAAATAATGATAGACTAGGAGGAAGAAAGAGAGGTAACACAGTATGAAAGAGGAACTCCCAGCTGAGCCCTGGAAGTAGGAAATAGAATTCCTGAAAACTCAGCTTCCTAATAATCAAGCTTCTCTTTTAATGTTCTGTGCTAGGGTCTGTGCAGATCTAAGTTCTCATTCTCTTGGCTTTCTTTGGTAAAGATGGCATGAGCAATGCGGAAGGCAATGGCATCCCGTTAACATGATCCAATGTCACCACTGAAACAGTGGTTCAGCCTTGTTCAGTGAGGTCTTATAGCCTCCTGAGGACATGGAAATGATTCCCTTCAATCCCCACTTCAGGAATCTGAAGAAGGGTCTCTGCGAGTCAGAAATTACTCGATGGGTCGGTGGATTGGTGTTTGGTTTTACCAATAAGGACACTGAGACTCAGAGCGAGGTTAAACAACTCCTCTGTGGCCCCACAGCTATTTATGTGGTCGAATCAGAATTTGATCCAGGGTCATCTGGCTCCAAAACCCATGCTTCCACACCGCCCTCACTTGAGTGAAGGGTCAGACACCCCCAGAATCAAAGGATTTAATAAAAGCAGATAGCCACATGCAGCACTCACTGCAGTACGGGTTCGTCTCAGCTGTGTCAAAGAACGCTTTGGTCATAGGAGGATCTTTGGCTCTTAGGTAGTCTTTCCAACCATCAGCATAATAACCTAGAAAACAAGTTGGGAAAGTATAAAGTATTATATAAATGTAAAAGCAATTGGGAAAGTAGCAAGAACAGTGAAGACAGGGCCACCAGGGGAGGCGTCTTCCCAGCTTCTAGCCCATCTTCCGGATGACCCTATCCTACGAGCTGGGGCTTGTCAGTCCATTACCCTCGAGTTGATTCCAACTCATAGCAACCCCGGGGAACAGAGTAGAATTGCCCCATAGGGTTTATAATTTCTATAAATATTCTTTTATCTAAATTTGTTTTACCTTTTCTTTCTATATGCATGAAAGTTTATGAAGAAAATTGGTTTTCCATTTTAAAATTCATACACATTTTCTTCGGTGGTATTGATGGCAATCTCGCGTTATGATGGCACTCTTCCCACTCCTTCCCTGTGTTTCCCATTTCCATTCATCTTTCTTTCCTATCCATTCCCACCTTTGGAGCTTTGTCGCTGGGCTCATGTTGCCTTTTGATCTCACACAGTTGGTGGTAAGGCGTGTGCTCCTCCCTCACTTTATAGACCTATCTATCACTTATGCAAGCAGACTACTGCCATGTCCGCATCACATGGAACAGCTTGTAGGCTCAAACTGTCCACCTTCCCATTTGCAGCTGTGCGCTTAATCACTAGTGCCCATAGTACTTGTCAAAGGCCTCAACAATTACATTTCTTCCCTTCTACTGTCATTACTAAGCTCTGGTGGCCTAGTGGGTAAGGAGTTGAGCTGCTAACCCAAAGGCAGATGGTCTCATTCCACCAGCTGCCCTGTGAGAGAAAGATGGGCAGTCTCCTGTGTGGTTTACAGCCTCTGGAAAAGTGCTAGAGGCTCAGCTGTGAGTTAGTTCCAACCCCACGGCAATGAGTTGAGTTGCTAGGACTGATATTACCTTATCAAGCACCAGGTCTCAGATGCAGGGTCAGAATTGGGGTGGGGCACACATTACAATGCATTAATTTTGTAAATTTCAATAGATTGAGGCTTACACATAAAACAGCATCATGCTTTCAAAGTAATGTGCTTTCCTGAAGAGCTACAGTCGGGTCTCTCAACTGCACAGAGCCTTGCCATGTGTCTCTGTCATCAAGCAGGCGGGTATCTACCTTGGTATTCATGCCTGCAGCAACTGTGGTGTCCACGCCTGCAGGAAAGGAGGTTGCATGCAGCTCAGTGTGGTTACTCCCTCTTCTCTATCTCCATCCCCCAGGGAATGACCATCAGGTTCTGACTTAAAGATCTGAGGTGAGGACCAGACATGAGTATTTTTAAAAAGTTCAACAGATAATTCTGTTGTGCAATCAAGGTCAAGAATCACTTGTTAACTTGATGTTAACTTGAGCTTTTCCTTTTGGAAGCAACAGGAAAATTCTAATGATCGTGTAGTTTTCAAAGTCCTTACCACCTAGAATATTCGCATTGAATTCTTAGCAAACAGGCAAGTAGCCTCCATAGTATTACCCACCTCACAGCCTGGACACACAGGCAAGAGCCTGAAAGAAGGGGGGTGTTTGCAGTCATGAATGGCTAAGAGCGTATCACACTGCAAGGCCTGTCTGAGTGGAGGGTCACTGAGGTCTCTGGAGAGGCAGGATATACTGGGAGAGTGATCCAGCCCTTATGGGAGAAGGCTGTATAAAATGCCATGCCCTGGCTCAGCTTGGAAAGTTTTCTGGCATCTTCTTGTCTGCAATAAAACCTCTAGGGAGATTGTACTGGTTTGGGTGTGTTTTGTTCCTCACTGTTGAGTTTTTGTTTTGTTTTGTTTTATGGAAACCTGTCCATATTTCTTTTCAAGACTTTATTATTAGGACACTCCAGAATAGCTCATGAAACAAACTGGCCATGGGGGGGGAGGGTTGATTAAAGAATTATTTTAAAAGATAACAAGGAGTAAAAAACACCTGGAGTAGCACATCAGCAGAGACCCATCAGATATGCACGCTGGACTGAGAAGAAGCCATAGCACTAGGGATATTATAACCAATGCTAGAAGGATCTTAGCTAAAAGCAGAGAGTACCAGAGGAATGTCTATCTGTGTTTCATTGACTATGAAAAGGCATCTGACTGTGTGGATCACAACAAACTGTGGCTAACTTTGGAAGGATAGGAATCCCAGAACACTTAATCTTGCTTATAATTGCCAGGAGGGACTAGTCCTTAGAGAAGAACATCATGCTTGGAAGGGTGGAGGGACAGTGCAGGAGAGGAAGACTCCAGATGAAATGGATTAACATAGTGACTGGGGTAATGGAAGTAGGCGTGTCGGAGACGATAGGATTGGCTCAGAATATGGCAGAGTTCAGAGCTGTTGCACATAGGGTCGCTATGAGTCACAGGTGACTCGAAGGCACATAACAACAGCAACAACAACTTGTGGCCTGGTGTGTAAGGAGTGGCACTGCCAGCCCAAAGTCACAGGTGTGAATCCACCAGCTGCTTCATAGGTGAGAGATAAACATTCTCCCTCCTCCCATGAGATTTACAGCCTCTGAAAACCTGCTCAAGGATCCAACTGTGAGTCAATTCCAATTTGATAGCACATAACAATAAAAGTTAACTTTTCTAGATCCATTTTCAGACAGTAAAATTGATGCTGAGATGCCCATGCAACATTAAACCTTGGTTAAAAGGAGGGGCTGTTTCCAGCTGGGCTTACCCACAAGGGGACAGGGTTCCTTCTGGGGCAGGCCGCAGCTAACACACTTGCCATTCCTGTAATTGCGGTAGGAGTCACAAGGGTACGCGGTGATGGCACAGTTCTCTCTCAGGGAAGAAAGGTACAGGTACACAGACCGCTGGTGATCACATTTGAAATACTTCATTCCTTGGATTAGAAGGAAAAATTAAAGAGTAGAACATTTGAAGTATTTCATGATATTGCATCACACATGTTATACACATTTCTTATAGACAACTTACCATATGCCTGGAAGTATATGGCAGTCTATTTCTATGGAGATAAATAGAAAAAAGAAAACAAAAATACCACAAACCTACTGCTATGCACTGATTTCCACTCATGGCTTCTGTAGGAGAGAGGAAGGCTGTAATCTTCACTCTTTCTCCCACTAAGCAGCTGCTAACTTTTAGCCACCAAGTGCTTAAACACTGCACCACCAGGGTCACTCTCTTTAAATCTTTTTGCTGTTGTTGTTATGTGCAATTGAGTCAGAATCAACTCATCAACAGAATCAACTGACCCTCCAACGGGTTTTCAGAGGCTGTAAATCACACAGGAGGAGAATGATCATCTTGAACTGCCTGCCTTTGGGCTGGCAGCATAACTCCTTACCACTGTTGTTGTTATTGTTGATTGTCATTGAGTTGAGCATGACTCATAGCGACTCTATGAACAAAAGACCTAATGCCTTTCCATAACTATTGTCATTTCTGAAAGTTCATAGAGTTTCCAGAGGCATGCGGTTTAGGAAGTGGATGCCACTCCTGCTTCCAAACCTGTTTTACAACTGGGAGCTCCACCAAACACTGTCCACATTGGGAAACCATTATGGTATTTGATAATCCAAGGCACAAGGTTCAGTATCACAGCAAACCCAGGTTACTTCATACAGCACATTAACAAAACGGTGATGTGCCAAGTGGAAGAATGATCCTCCAGATATAACAACATTAGTCTCTTTTAGTAGTGGTTTAAGTGTTGTCAAGTCGAATAAGACTCTGGCAGTATGTCTACCAAGGATTTCACAGGACAGAGATGGGCAATTTCCTCTCATGTGATTTACAGCTTCTGAAAATTCACTGGACAGTCAGCTGAGTCTTCTCCAACTTGGCGGCAAGTTTTTGTTAATAAAAAGCAAGGTTTTTTATAACAAAATCATCTTTTTGTTGAAATATTTCTCTAGTTGTCTAACTTTGTCCAGCAATGGCAAAAATGTAGGATTTAGGATGTTCAAGAAAGGTGTTTTCCCACCCCCTATTTTATATTTGTTTGATAAAACTAATATATGCTCATTTGGAACTAAAAAATAATAATGCAAAAATTATCTAGGTCTAGGGATCACCACAAATAATTATTTGGAGAATTTCTATTCTGATCTTACACATTATACACATTTTTAAAGATTAGAATAGTATTATTTTATATCCTTTTCACCTAACATCATATTATAAGCATTTTCATTGATTTCTGAACACATAATTTTTTTATTATATATGAAACATTCTTCTAGCTCGTATAACTCTTGTATGTCTACTTGCTGTACAGAGGTAACTCGTGGTTCTGTGAGGCCAAACACTGACACTGATGAGTCAAATGCGAGAATGGTTACCCATGACAGACAGTGTTTGGTGGAGCTCCCTGATTAAAACAAGCTTGGCATCTACTTCCATAGTATCTTGCCTCTGGAAACCCTACGAACCTGGAGAAAGGATAAAAGTTATACAGGAGGTATCCAGGTCTTTAGTTCATAGGGTCGCTATGGGTCACATTTAATAACAACATATGTTATTAATTCTATTCCATTCCATTCCATTCCATTCCATTCCATCCCATTCCATCCCATCCCATCCCATCCCATCCCATCCCATCCCATCCCATCCCATTCCATTCCATTCCATTCCATTCCAAAGGAGGAGTGACATCCACTTCCTAAATAACATGCCTCTGGAAATGCTATGAACTTTGATAAATGATGATAGCTATAGAAAGGCTTCAAGCCTTTGTTCATAGGATTGCTATGAGTCATGCTCAACTCAACAGCAATCAACAACAACAACAACAGCATATTATTTGTAGATGTGCCATACTGATTCATTGCTGCAATATCAGAATCAACCCATAGCTGACCCTCCAGCAGGTTTTCAGAGGCTTTCAATCGCATGGGAGGAGATAGCCTATCTTTCTCTCATGGGGTAGCTGGTGGTTTCAAACCGCTTGCCTTTGGGTTGCCAGTGTAACTCTTTACCTACAAGGCCACCAAGCTCCTGATACCATACTAAATCTAATGATTTTTTTCCCATTGTTGGACAGTTGGATGTCTGTCAAGTCAGACGACTCATAGCGATCCTATGAACAAAAACCCTGAACACTTGTATAACTTCCATTGTTTCTCCAAGTTCATAAGGATTCCGGAGGCACGCTATTATGGAAGTGGATGCCACTCCTGCTTACAAGCTTGTTTTAATCAGGGAGCTCCACCAAACACTGTCCAACATGATTAACCATTATCATATTTGACACACCAGTCACAGTGTTCAGCATCACAGCGACCACGAGTTATCTCTGTACAACAAATGGACTGACCAATGCTATACCACTTAGGAGAATGTTTGACAAAATAGCAATTAAAATCAGGCCCTCAGACCTGTGGCCTTCGGACCCAACCATATTTAAGAACCAAGGCAAGGTCCAAACTCCATGAACTCCATCATTCCACATTCCTCCCTAATAAAGCTTTCTCATTGGTGTTGACCACCAAAAAGTCCTGTATGGGCACATTCTGCTTATTCCCCAATCTCCTTCTATTCTGATACCTCATGTTTCTTCATAGAGTCTAACTTCTTGAATCATCTGTATACTAAATATTATACTAATAGTTTATCTATTATAAATGGTTTTTAGACATCTCTACACACGTGTTCTCATCCATATTTTCCATTAGTTTCCTAGGAGAGATTCTCAGATGTGCCATTTCTAGGTCAAAGTTACAACATTTTAAGAGACAGAAATAATCCACAGTGGCTTTGAACTGACTGGGAAAGCAGGTGGCAGAACCTGCAGTGCTGGTCTGTGCTGCAAACCTGAAGGCAGCAGCTTCTTGGAAGAAAGAAGAGCAGGCTCCTCCCATTAGGACTTCCAGCCTCAGAATCTCAATGGAGGCTTGCTGTGAGCCAGAGTCAACTTGGCTGCAATGTGCTTAGCTTGGAATGATACAGTTTAAGAGTTTAAAAAGTTATACACTTGAGTTGTAATGTGTATCTGAGGGAGCTCTGGTGGCTTAGTGATAAGGAGTTTATGCTGCCAAGCCAAAGGGCCATCATGGTTCAAATCTACCAGCTGTTCCTAGAGAGAAAGACGAATACTCTCCTGTCATGCAATTTATGCCTCTAAAAACCCACTTAAGGGTCAGCTGTCAGTCAGGTCAGATTCAATGGTACATACAACAACAGATATGTAGATATGGAGCTGTGGTGGCCTAGTGGCAAGAAGCTGTGCTGTAATCTTGAAGGTATATCTTTCAAATCTACAAGCTGTTCCAAGAAAGAAGGATGGGCAATCTCCTCCTGTACTCTGACTCTGACTCTGAAACTCACTCGAGGTTGGGTCCAACTCGAAGGCACACAACAACAACCACCCATAGCTGACCCTCTGTTGGGTTTTCAGAGGCAGTTAATCGCATGGGAGGAGAATGTCCATCCTTCTCCCACAGAGCAGCTGGTGGCCTTGAACGGCATACCTTTGGGACTGCAGCTGACATTCTTACCACTAAGCCAACAGATACAGAGATGTTGTTTTGTTGTTATGTGCTGTCGAGCCGCCCAAGACCCATAATGACCCTATGCACAGCAGCTCTGAACCCTGCCCTGTCCTAAGCCAGTCTCCACACCAGTTACTGTATCAATCTATCTCATCTGGGGTCTTCCTCTTCTGTGCTGTCCCTTCACCCTTCCAAGCATGATGTCCTTCTCCAAGGATCAGTCTCTCCTGGCCATGTGAGATACAGCTTCAAACTTGGTTTCACCCTCTCCAAGATAGACCTGTTTGTTTTCTTGGCGGTCCATGGTATGTTCAAGACTCTTCTTCTGTGTGTGTATACATATACATACATATGAATATATACACACACACATACATATGAGCTCTGATGGTCTAGTGGCAAGAAGCTGCACTGCAATCTCAAAGGTATGGGTCAGAAATGACTCAATAGTAGACAATTACAACATATGTATATATGTATATGTACATGTATATATGTATATATTTGGCAGCAGGAGTGGCATCCACTTCCTAAACAACATGCCTCCAGAAACTATGAACTTTGATAAATATTGCTAGTTATAGAAAGGCTTCAGGCCTTTTGTTCATAGGGTCATTATGAGTGGTGCTCAAATCAAAGACAATCAATAACAACATGTATATGTGTGTGTGTGTGTGTGTGTGTGTGTTGTTGTTGTTGTTGTTATGTGCTATAGAGTTGCCTGTGACTCATAGCGACCCTATATACAACAGTCCTAAACCCTGCTCTGTTTTGTGCCAGTCTCACTATCTCCGACACACCTACCCCCATTACTCTAGTCACTGAATCGATCCACCTCATAGAGGGTCTTCCCCCTCCTGCGCTGTCCCTCCACCCTCCCAAGCATGAATGACATCCTTCTCCAAGGACTGGTCTCTTCTTGCAACACCTCCAAAGTATGCCAGACCAAGCTTCAGAATCCTGGCCTCTAAGGAGCAGTCTGGTTTAACTCTCTCCAGGATGAATCTGTTTGTTTTCTTGGCAGTCCATGGTATATTCAATACTCTTCTCCAGCACCACAGCTCAAAGGCATCAATTCTCCTTCTATCCTCCCTAGTCATTGTCCAGCTCTCTGATGCATAGCAAGTGATTGCAAAGACCATGGCCTATATTAGGTACACCTTCACCTCCAGAGTGACACCATTGCTCTTCAGTACCCTGAAGAGGTCCCTAACAGCCAACTTTCCCATCACAATACGTCTTTTAATTTCCCAGCTGCTGGTGCCAAGAGTGTTGACTGTGGAACCAAACTAAGGCAGTTAATCTCCATCTCTCCACCATCCATCCTGATGCTGCCAGGTGGTCCAGTGGTGAGAATCTTTGTCTTCTTGATATTGAGCCTCAGTCCTTGACCTTCTGCAGCAAGCACTTCAGGTCCTCTTCAGTTTCAACAAGCAGGGTTGTGTCACCTGCATAATGCAGATTGTTGATGAATCTTCCACCAATCCTGATGCCACACTTCTCCTCATAAAGCCCAGCCTCCTGGATATTCTATTCTGCATATAGGTTGAAAAGGTATGGAGACAGGACACATCCCTGGCATACACCATTCCCAATTTTGAACCATGCAGTGTTTCCCTGCTCTGTTCTGACGACTGCTTCTTGGTCCAAGTATAGGCTTTGCATTAGCATGATCAAGTGTTTTTTTGATTATGCAAAGGGGTTTGACTGTGTGGATCACAACAAACTGTGGCTGACTCTGAGAAGAATGGGAATCCCAGAACACTTGATCATGTGTGTATGTGTATACAGAAATATATTTATGTATAAATACTAAAATAAATATATCTTGGGGGAGGGATGGGCGGGGAGAGAAGTGCTACAATGAATTAATGGAAATGCAAAAATCCCTGTAAATGCTAATTAAAATTATTTCAAAAATATATATCTCTATCATCTATATCTATCATCTATCTATCTAATCTATTTTTCATCTATCTAATGTTTTACTTGTTTTCACTGAGTCAAAACCGATTCAGGGTCGACCTTTCAGTGGATCTTCAAAGGCAGTAAATCATACCGGAGAAGATTGCTCATTCCCCACCCCCATTAGAGCTGCTGGTGAACTCAAAACTTCCTACAAACTAGATAGCACCTCTAAGATCTCAGGAGTTTTAAAAAAATTTAGTGATTACTCAATATAGGATAAATGTCAGATTTTAAAATATATACCTTTTTAAATTTTTTTTTATTTTATTATTTTGCGTGTGTGTACCATCAAATCAGATCTGACTGGAACAGGATCCCTCCTTCTCCAGCAGAGCATCTGGTGGATTCAAACCAGACTTCTGGGATTGCAGTACAGCTTCTTGCCACTAGGCCACCAAGAGCTCCCTAAGATACACTTTTTATAAAATTTTAAAGAAAAGTAGTTTTTAAAAGACAATAACTTTTTAAAAAAAGCAATAATTTACAAAATATATCTCTGCTTACCTCCAAATATTGTTTTGGGGCAACCAGGCTGGTCCAATCCTCCATTTGGGTAAAAGTCAATGTTTCCTAGTTGCTCCTTATAGCCCAGTGCTAAAAGAGAACACATTGGGTTTTTACAATGCTTTCAATGTGTCATACTGATAGCTCTTTGCCTGCAGGACGTGGACAAGGATTGTATTGTAGCTGTTGTTGTTGTCAGGTGCCATCCCATTGACCATGACTCAGAGCCACCCTATGAATGACAGACCTGAATCCTGTCCTACTCTGCTTAGGTTCCTAGCAGCCCATGAAATGACAGAATGAAACCTCACTCAGTTCTGTGTGTCTTCACAACTGTCACCAAGTTTAAGGTCATTTCTGTAGCCACTATGTCAATCGATGCTGTTGAGAGCCTTCCTCTTTCTCACTCGCCCAGTGGTCCATTTGTCAGGATTTATTTTTGTGCATAATTTTTTTTCTTTTTTAAATTGGTTCATATACATTGTGTTTTATACAGTCATTCATATACATTGTGTTTCATTCATATATATTGTGTTTTATATAATAATCCTTGTATATTGTATTTTATATAATTATTATTGATCTATGCCTTTTATCACCCCATCTCTTCAAGTCCCATTCTCTCATCCTAATCTTCTTATTCTTTCCAGTGTTCCTAGTCCTCCAGCCCCAAATGCATGCATGCACTAGCCTCTGTCATCCTAGTGAATTTCCTCTTCCTCTTTTTCTGTTCCCTTCTTCTTTTACCCTTTTGAACATTTACACATATCTTGCTTAGTTAATCCAATTTCACAATGGTGGTTTTATGCAGTATTTGTGCTTTTATAATTGAGTTACTTCACTCAACATAGTGTCCTCCAGACAGAACCATTTATATAAAATTTTACAAATACTTTATTGTTCTTTAGTGCTGCATAGTATTCCATTGTGTGAATATTTCGTAGTTTCTCTATCCATTCTTTTGTTGTTGTTTTTATTTTATACTGGTTTGCTTACAAAGTTTGTATACATTGTTTGTCATACCAGAACTTTCCCATTTTCTTCACTCACCCCTCCCTCTATACATCAAATTGTTCAACCCTAGATGAGGATTTTTGTTTTCTTTATATTGTGATATATAATTCATACTTAAGGCTGTAGTTTTGATCTTCAGCAAAAAAATGCCTTGCAGCCCTCTTCATTTTCAGCAAATAAGGTTTTGTCATCAACACATGGCAGGTTGTTAATGAGACTTTATCCAGTCCTGATGATGCATTCTTCATATAATCAAGCTTCTCAGAATATTTGATCAGTGCAGAAATCAGGTAAGTATGGTAAAAGAATACAAGCTGACTGTATTGTTATTACTATTGGAATCTATCATTCACCTTATGCCTATTTACATGTCTTATTCGAAGTCACCAGTTAGTAACTATTAGGACTGCAGAGCCCTTTACTTCCTTTTCCAGAAGGGCTACTGAGAGAATCTAATCACAGGAAAGAGCAGCTGTGCTTTTTCTCTCTGTGAAACTACCCTACCCCCTTTCCCCCAGGAATCTGAGAGTCTAGCCTATTTCCCTTTCTTGAAGGAAGCATCTGTAAGCATCTCCTTCCCCAAGTCCCTTGTAAGAAAGTATAAAATCCCCCTCTAACTCTTAGTGGGGGCTGGTCTTCTGCTTGAGAGCCAACTCGGCAGTTTCTCCTCAATAAACTCTTCCTTGGCCTGCACTGGATTCTGTTCTTCCTTGGTGACCTTACAGTAACTATGAAGTAATAATTTCTAATTAGCTCAGGAGAGTAATAATCGATTCACTTACAGAACTTCTGGAGACTTCCAAGAAGTTTGGCTACTCATTCACTGCAAAGTGATAAAGGGACAAGTTTCAAAAAAACAAACAAAAAAAAGGGGGGACAAGTTTCTCCATATTTAGCTGGAATTCTTCCTGAACTTCTAAATGCATTTGCATAATAGTTAATTAGTAATACATGAGGAAATAGGAATTTTTTTATTCAAGAATTACTTAGGCAGTATCAATGAAGTCCTGTGAATCATGATGGAAATGATTGGAAACATGTCTATAAAAGGGACCTTAATACAGGTTGTTGCTGCTGCTGTGTACCATCAAGCACCATAGCTGACCCTCCAGTGGGTTTTCAGAGGCAGTTTTTTGCACTGAGGAGAATGTCCATCCTTTTCCCACAAAGCAGCTGGTACATTTGAACCACATGCCTTGGGATTGCAGCACAACTTTTTATCACTAGACCACTAAAATGCTTTCAAATACTATAAACATATATGTCTGTCTTGCTATACATAGACACACTGGTCACAAAGGAGCGTGGGGGCACAGTTTGCAGCCAGTTGCATGGCTAACCCAAAGGATGCAGTGGTTTGCATCCAACAGACTCTGCACAGGAGCAATCTGGAAAGTCTCTTCTTGTTACAGTTGATAGCTTTGGAAACCAGTGAGGGGCCACTATGAGTTGAACTACCTTGACAATAGTGCATTTGAGCTATTTTGAGTCTTGATCATGGTAATAATAATTAGTATATATTGAGAACTTGCATGTGTCTATGGAAATGATACTAGGTATCATTCTAGGTGATATTAGGTGCTTTACGTATCCTTCATTTTATTTCCACAATATTGCAAAGTTGTTATTGTTATTTGCCTTTGGATTGACTGTGACTCATAGTGATCCTATGAAAAATAGCTCTAAACCCTGTTCTATCCTGAGCCAATCTCACTGATTCCAACACACCTACTCCCATTACCCCAGTTACTATGTCAATCTATCACATCCAGGGTCTTTCTCTCTTGCACTGACCCTTCCAAGCATGATGTCCTGCTCCAAGGACTAGTTCCCCCTGGCAACATGCCCAAAGTGACATGGGGCTTCAAAATCCTTGAGAGCAACTTGATTTCACTCTCTCCAGGACAGATATGTTTGTTCTCTTGGCAGTCCATGGTACCTTCAATGCTCTTCTCCAGAACCACAATTCAAAGGCATCGATTCCTCTTCTGTCACCTATAGTCATTGTCTCTGATGCATAGCAAGTAATTGCAAAGACCACGGCCTGGATCAGGCACACCTTAGTCTCTAGGCTGATGTTGTTGCTCTTTAGCACTCTGGAGAGGTCTCTGACAGCACATTTCCCAATGCAACTCACCTATTGAATTCCTGACTGCTGGTGACAAGAGTATTAACTGTGGAGGTGAGCAAGCTGAAATTGTTAACAATCGCAGTCTCTTCTCCATCTATCATGGTGCTGACAATAAGCCCTGTGGTGACAATCTTTGCTTTTTGATGTTTCACTAGAAAATCTGGAGGATGTAAGTTATGGATAAAGATGCTCAGAGAAGTGAAAGAGCTAAAATGACACCACTGGGAAGAGCAAAGCCTGGAACTGGAGTCCTGTCCCATGGGTCACAAGAACACATTGTCTGAAAATTAATCCCTCAGGCTGTAAGGTGCTGATAATATAGATTAACTCAGTGGTCTCAACAATGGGCTCCCCCATACACAGGGCCCAGAGGTGGCACACTAGCCAGCAATGTTTCATTCTGTTACAATAAGGTCCCCATGAGCCAGCATCAGTGACAGCAACTAACTGTCAGCTTCCAAAATGTACACTCTTCTGTTCAAATTCCACTTCCTCACTAGCAAAATAATAATAATAATAATAATTATTATTATTATTATTTTTCTATTCCATCCAGCATTAAGTGGTATTGTAATGTTGCGGTTAAAATTGTACTATTTTATTATCTCCATCACAGGAGCACAGATTCAGAAGGCAAAGTTTGCTCCAGAACAAAACTGCACCAGAGAGTCCATGAGAGGCTGGATGTTCAGGGGCTTTTCAGGTGGCCATATCAGAAAATAGATGTGCAATTAAATATTTGCCCTGCTTATCCACCCTGGTCACCCCAGGCTCTTCCTCCAGGTTTTCTCCCAAACATCTAACCATATCAACCCACTCTTGACTTCAGTCCCACTCCATGACCTGGACCCAGCCCAAATAAGAAATGCCACAAATGAAAACATTTGTACACATTGACTTGACCATCACTAAGTGATTGTTCTAAAAATGAAAATAGATGAGATAACACCTCCAACTCAGAGACCTAGCCTGTGTGCCTGCATTAAGCCAACTTCTCTCCAGTGTTTCTGTGGATTTGGAGCCCTGCCCAGCAGGAAGCGATGGATTCTGGAGAAAGCTGATCTGCCCCTACATGACGATGCCCCAGGGGAGACTCCATAGGAGTATGGGGCGAGGGGAGGCCACTGACAGAGCGGTGCAGGAATGTTACCAATGTTACCGTCAGTGTCGGAATGGATGACATCAACAAACTGCGCGTCACCGGGATCTAATCTGTCTTGTGGAGGCTTCCCATTGAATAAAGGGCCCGCAGGGTCGAGACCTGGAAGGAAAGCAGAGTTGGCTTAGCCGCCCAACGCCATGAGTCACCTGCAGCGGGGCTTGTGATTGCTCCCCACCAGCAACCTCCAAGGCTGCAGGGCACCCCAGATGGGCAAGCCCTCACGGTCCTTCCTATTTTGTCAGGACGCTTTCCCACCACCCTGCAGCCTTTTCCCACAGTGCAGACGGTGCCCTGGCAGTGCCCCCTTGAGATGCACGCAGGTATCAGTGGGCAGGCCGTGTATAGAGTTTAACACCAACAGTGTACACATGTGGGGAACAAGAAGGGGGGTGATAAACTGGCTCTTCAGGAGGGAAAAGTCCTTTGGCGTGTATATAGGGAGCTCTGGTGGCAAAGTTCGTAGAGTGTTTCACTGCTGAAACCCTCTGGCAGCTTGAATCCCCCAGTTGCTCTGAAGAACAGTGGGCAATCTCCTCCTGCGGGATTTACAGTCTCAGAACGCAGTGGAGGGTCAGCGATGAATGGGTTATGACTCTATGGTGCTGAGTTTGGGGGTTTTGTGCCAAGGAACTGTGCTGCCAACCCGTAGGCACATGGTTAGAATCCATCAGTGGCTCCCCGGGAGAAAGATGGGCAGTCTACTCCTACGTGGTGTGATGGCTCCGTAAACCCACTCGAGGCTCTGCTTGGGTTGGTTCTGAGTCAACATCAACTTAAGGGAGT